CAACGAAATCTAATTTCCTTTTCAAGCTGTCAAAATTTATATCCATCACCAAGTCCTGTGACGATGAATTTTAGAGATTAGCGATTTTCTGTATGATCACTATGCAATCTCTATCCCTGAATCTTTATTTATCTGATTCTGAACATCAACCTTCTATTGTGGCTCATTCAAGAAAGGTGCAGTTTGAGATAAAAGAGGTAGGAATAAAGAAATTTTTGGATTATGGGTATTTCTTTCTTGCAACAACTATAATGTGAGAAACCTGAGGCCATGTGTGAAAAACTCACAATCCAATAATGTGCATCACTACTGTAGTTTGTCTTTAGAGTATATCAGGGGTAGGCAACCTTGGCTCTTTTATGACTTGTGGACTTTAACTCCCAGAATTCCTGAGCCACAATTTCTTAGGCCTATGAAACCAGCTTGGGAAGCAATAAAATAAAATTTTCCCCATTACTGTCAAGAGCCATAAAGTTCACATGAAAACAAAACTCTGTTTCTTCCTCAGGTTTAGATAACACAGTAAATCTCCTCATCCAAAGAAGTTTCCAGTTTACCCAAATTAACATAAGGGCAGAGACAGCAAGAGACTCGGCCGAGAAAATAAGCTTTACAATGTCACAGGCATAGATCCTTCTCATTTCCTCTCAGAAGAGACTCAGAGAACATGCAAAAGGAATATTTTTTTTCTAGTACCAGCACTCTGACCGAACATTATTTCTTTACTTCACAGCATACATACAGAGCAGATCATATTTATTCCAGAGACAGGAACTAGAAAATACTGGTCAATTCGTTTAAAACAGGAAGGAAGATAGTGACGTATTTTGGATTCAGTCATTACAAAGATCAATCTGCTAACAGAAAAATATTCATTGGGAAAACAAGAATGAAGAGGAAACTTCCTCCCTTTATCAGATTAGTGGGATGAGATTGATTCAGTCAATGCAAGCCAGGAATTAGCAATTCTGAGGCCATTCCACGGCATCCATCTGAGATACTGCTATAAATTAACTGACTTCTCACTGGTAAGCTAGTTTAGTCACAGTAAGTTAATTTGGTCACAGACCAACCATAGCCAATATCGTCAACACTCTTCAAGAATTCCCATATTACTAGAATAGGCCAAATGTCAAACAAAATAATAAGAATCCAGGGAGGGAAATAGGAAACCAAGCCAATAAACCAAATTTAAAACTGAGCCTTCGGTGCCCAAATCTATCTCAAATGATTTGGGGTTGGCTGTGAGCTAATGGCAGATATTCACACAAGTGATAATTTAACATTTGCATGGATGAAGAAATTTTAAAAAATAAAACCTTAAACAAGACCATATGTACATCTCATCTATTCTTGGTGCAGCTGCAAGCACTTACAAGAAAACAAAAACATGTCAGGGCAATTAAATTATTAACATAGCATCTTATGTTATTTCCAAGGCTTTAGGAAAAAGTCCTCTCCGAAATAAGAGTTAAGTATCTCAAAATGAGTCATGTGTTAGAGTTCAGGGGCAAAAGTCTAAGGGAGTTAAAACATTGATAGAGGTCTCCAGAATTAAAAGGTTTATATGGTGAAGATAGTTTTGGTATCTCGTAGAAGATGTTCTCAACTTAGTAAGCCATACCACCGAAGAGTAAACGTAAACATGAGAGGCTCCTATCCAGCCCTATCCCAAGTACAATACTGTCTAACACAGTGGTTCTCAACCTGTGGGTCGGGACCCCATTTGGGGTCGAACAACCATTTCACAGGGGTCGCCAAACAACGCAGTCCACCATTTTTTCCCCCTTTTCCTTAGCTGTGCTACTCCCTTTTATTCTATTGGCTTTTGAAAGCTAATAGAATAGACTCTCTTGAATAGAGTCTAATTGTCCAGGCTGTCTCTGCCCTGCTGAGCCCGCCAAAAGTCCCATTCTGCAAACGGTGCTGCACCAGTTGAGTAGTCCTTGACTTACGACCGGTTGAGTAGTCCTCGACTTACCACTGGTTGGGGGTTGCGGCATTAAAAAGGTTGAGAACCACTGGTCTAACAGATCACAACAAAAACATCTAGTGGCAGGATTTCCACAAACTATTTTTTTTTTCTCTCACCAAGTACTATGGCCTCATCTCATGATTTTCATGTCTGCCAGCACTGATATCAAACAAAGGCCAAATAATTCACCAATATTACACTACTGGGTGTTAATTGGTTCTGGAAGGTGAAATGGGTACTAAAAAGGACAAGTCCCAAACAAACCACATGACTTACCATATAACCCTTGTTTCGGCTGGGAAGAACTGTCTATCCCTTTTCCTATGTCAGTGATCTTCCCAGCATGGCCAACTTCCTGTCTGTCCTCTGTGGTTGTCCCCCTCCTTTTGCAGCAACCTTCCCACCATAGATGACTTCCTATCCATTCCCCACAGCTATATGCCTCTTCCTATAGCAGTGTGTCAAGACCGAGTACTGGGACAACATTTTCACATCAAAATGCATCAAATACCAAATTCGTCGAGTTTTGAAGCAGTCGAGAACCAAAGTACCACTGTACTTTCAGAATCAGGATACATTTTTAACTCTGAGATGAGAAACTTAGACTTTGGGTGTTACTGTTGGTAAACAGACCATGGTAACCAGACTGTACTGTACATTTATGGTGATTGTATAAGCAGTTTGATCTGCTCATAAGGGTAAATACAATAGAACCTCAACAGTGCCTAAGATAAAGACTTTAAAACAAGTTTTTCAAACCATGATTTCAGAGGTTTTCTTTAGAAGCTCAGCCAAGTTTCCAACAAAGGCAGGTAATCTGCCACAACAAATCATCAAATTCAACCCTGCCACATAAGAAGGGAAAAATATTACTGCTTAATTCGCATGGAGTCACTGTTGGAACATCCAACAACTTGTGTAACCGAAGTACACCTCCTGGAATATGCAGGACTCGTACAAAAGGGCATATGACACAAAGACTTCCCAGTAGGCAAATAAAGCAAAAAGAAATTGTCCAAGGAGGAGAACGTAAAAACCATTTCACTATGAAAATGATATTAGTTATGTAGAACTCATTTCCCATCCGTCACCATGAAGGGTCAAGCCAACTTCCAGGAAATTTCCAGGCATTTTATTCTCCCAGCCTGCTCTCTAGGCCAGTAGTTCTCAACCTGTGGGTTGGGACCCCATTTGGGGTCGAACAACCATTTCACGGGGGTCGCCAAACAATGCAGTCCGCCATTTTTCCCCCCTTTTCCTTAGCTGTGCTGCTCCCTTTTATTCTATTGGCTTTTGAAAGCCAATAGAATAGACTCTCTTGAATAGAGTCTAATTCTATTGGCTTTCAAAAGCTAATAGGAATTGTCCAGGCTGTCTCTGCCCTGCTGAGCCCGCCAAAAGTCCCATTCTGCAAATGGTGCTGCACCAGTTGAGTAGTCCTCGACTTACGACCGGTTGAGTAGTCCTCGACTTACGACCGGTTGGGGATCGCGGCATTAAAAAGGTTGAGAACCACTGCTCTAGGCTATAACTAGAATAATTTCAGAAACAAAAAGATTTTATTTTAGTGCAGCTCCTTTTCTAACAAGCACAGAAGGCATGCAAGATGCCCTTTGATTCTAACTATATATGTTATTTATTGAGATGGCACATTAAAAAAGATCGTTAAAAAAATCAGCAAGTATCTGCTTTTGCTGATGTTAACAGAATTTTAGGCCATAGCTTTCTGTACAGTAAAATCTTATTTAACTTTTTTTCTTTCATGGCAAACGAAATGCACCAACAATTAGGACTTTGCTTTCTACACAAGCAAATCAGACAAAAGAAAAAGTAATGCTCATATTCGCACCAGTAATGGAAAACATTCGGTCACCTAGGCCCAAACTTTACCAATTATTCAGAATCAGGTACTGGAACAAATTGAGGAAATGCACATAGGCAAGAGGGCAAAAGCTGCACTTGTGCATATAACATTTCTTGATCTCAAATTATATCTTCCATTCAAATATAAAAACTCAAAGGCACCTTTCTCCTGAAGCACTCTTATAAAAACCTATTACCATAAATATTCAGCAGAGAAGTCAGCTTTATCAGAAGTCTGATTAAAAAAAAAAAAAAACATCCAGTTTCTAGCCTTCAATTATCACTCAAGGCATACAATTGTTCCAATCCAGCCAAGGCAATGCATATGGAGAAGCAAACTGCCTATGCAGTCCCTGTTGATTGTTGAACCACGTGCACCACTCTTAACAATCTTGAGGTTCCAGTGTTGCACAGAGGACCTGAAGTGCTGATCAAAACTTCAGGCAGCCCGATTCTTTTTCTCCAATTCTCTTACTCAACACGAGGCATTTAAAGGCATGTTTCACTCCAAACTATGCTGCAGATGTTTCCATTCATGGTTAACAACACCAAGGAAGAAAAAAAAGAGCTATGATCCTTCCAAAATGTATGTGTCTGGTGTGACTCTAGAACAGTATTTGTCAATAGTTTATACCTAAGGCAATTATTCCAGATCTATGTGCTTAACTCTTCCATTTTATATTTTAAAAAACTGCACTTATGTAGCCTTCAGCAATCCTTGCACAAGGTCTTCTTTTCTTTCAATAAGTCAGGATTCAGGGATAATATTGGGCACTGGGATCTCCCTCTATAAACAGTGAATGTTGGTGCATTCCTACTTAAGGCAAATACTGGCAGGAAAACTTACAAGGTTATGTTCCTTTCCTGGTTTATCACTGCCAAGAAGAGGTATATGAATCTAACTTTAACTCTTCTTCAGCACAGAATTTGAAAATATTTGCTTTAAGAGAAAACCCTTTATAAGTTCCTTTATTCTGGAACAACAGCAAGTTAAATAGCTCTTTGAAACTAGGGTCTCCACATCATCGTGAGAAAAAAAAAAAAGCAACACGAAACACAAAATGACAGGCAATTTAGTCAGTTTGACAGCAATCTCTTCCAGTTAGCCAGCAGAGGTAGAGTTGAGACTGCATTCCAATAATAAGAAATAAGAGAGCCTCACCTTCAGGAGTTCTCTTGGGAAATCTGCACCCTCATTCATTCCTTGAAGGTTGGCAATGAATTCTTGACAGGACATCTTTTTGCCAATGTTCTGAAATATACAGGACGTAGAGATATGAATACAAACCAATGAAAAGAACATGACCGTAGTTTTTAAAAACCTTATATTAAACCAGTGGTTCTCAACCTGTGGGTCGGGACCCCATCTGGGGTCGAACGACCATTTCACGGGGGTCGCCAAACAACGCAGTCTGCCATTTTTTTCCCCTTTTCCTTAGCTGTGCTACTCCCTTTTATTCTGTTGGCTTTTGAAAGCCAATAGAATAGACTCTCTTGAATAGTGTCTAATTCTATTGGCTTTCAAAAGCCAATAGGAATTGTCCAGGCTGTCTCTGCCCTGCTGAGCCCGCCAAAAGTCCCATTCTGCAAATGGTGCTGCACCAGTTGAGTAGTCCTCGACTTACGACCGGTTGAGTAGTCCTCGACTTACAACCGGTTGGGGGTCGCAGCATTAAAAAGGTTGAGAACCATTGTATTAAACCATTATAAATAATTTCTTTACTCCTAAATTAAAAACAAAATTGTGAACAGCAACAAATACAAGGTTAGGAGCATTATTTTATAAATCTGCATGAATGAACTAAAAAATACAAATCAATACTTGAAGGGTAGTGGTGAAGGACCAGGTGAAGGACCAGATCCTCAGGGAGAAAAATCTATCTATGTAAAGGTAAATCCTCAACTTACATCCGTAAGGGAATCTGCCCATAACAGCCATAAGTCGTGACAGCCATAAAGCAGGTCGTGCACATGTGACCAACTTGGTTTTATGACATTTTTTGCAGCAGTCATTAAGTGAACCAATTATTCCCTTTGGGCCAGTTTTGCTGAAAACCAGAAGTAAATGTCAGGTTTTGGCAAAAATATCGTAAAACACAGTTGCATGACCATAGGATGCTGCAAACAGAAATAAATGTGGGCCAGCTGCTGAATGCCCAATATGCAGTCACATGACCACGGGGGGGCAGCTATGGGAACTTCAGAACTGAGTCCTAAGTAACCCTGGTTATGTCTGTTGTTGTAAGCAAGCTGTCATAAGTCAAGGACTACCTGTAATTGCTAAGACTCTGGATAGCACATAATCAGTCACATGGACGAGAGAGGAAAACAGTCTGTAAACTCTCCAGCAGCCACACAGACTTTTCAGTCAAGATTCTCAAAGTTCCTTAAGAAATTGGTTTGCATGCCTAGAATATTAAGGTGTTGCCACCGACACAAATGGAAATTATTTTGCCTAAAGTTGATAAACTGCACAGAAAATTCTGAGCTTAAAAACATCTCTCCAGCCAAATCCAGAATTTCTCTTTTTTAAAAGAAGAAAAAAAGGATTGTTATTATTTTTCCCATTTCTGTCTTTAAAAACACGGGAGATTAATTTTAGTAGCAGCTAAGAGATACAGAGGAGAGAATGAATCACTCCTTTTCTAAGAACGACAGTCATTCTTCCCTCTGTACAAATAAAACTAGCTATTTTCCTCTTTCAGCAAGCCAGTTCCAAATTCTGATTAAAATAGAAACCAAGGGATTTGTCTAGATATATACTCCCATCATTCAAACCCGTTCTTTATTTGTGTCAGAAGCACCTACAAATTATAGATCTACAACATTCAACACTGAGCAAATAAAATAGATATAAAATAGGCCTTTGAAATATAGCACGTGTAACAATATGTAGAATACATAGGATGAAAACTAAATGACTTTTGCCTAGTATTGGGCCATGCCAACAGCATTTTCTCTTGCCAGTATGAGGTCTTCCCTCCATACATGTTGGAGGACACTGTACGTACTGTAGCATACACTTCAAACGTTGATCTCATTTTATTAATATGGAAGCCTATTTCAGATTCTTTAAAACTTCAATTTGCTAAAAAATGTATGGAGGCGATGTTCCTTCATCTGGGTTTTCCCTGAGTTTTCTGAATGCTTCTGAATGTCCCAATTTTAACAGAATGTCCTGTTTTAAGATAACAAACAACAGATGGTTTTGAAAGCGATCTTCAAAAACCGTTAGAAGATGGTGAGGGATAAGCATCTGAGAAGTATCAAGAAAAATCTTAATAGGACTTTGGAACATCTGCGTAGGAATGTAAATCTCGTTTCTATAAATTCATCACAACTTTTCCAGGGTATAGCTAAAAGCACTATATACAACTAGTTTTAACAGAACATTCAGCAAGCTAGGAGAAAAACATGACCATTTGTTTCTTGGGCACAAATAGCTCTACAATATTGCCGCCAAATCTCTGAAAAATTGCCATCTATATATAGTGTCTCTTGATGTCTGTGACAGTCCTGCATTTGGAGTCTGAAGAAAGACTGGCGGACATGAAAGAAGCATATTCATGTATTAAACAAACTGATATAGCTGCCCATCTAACAAAAGGAGCTACAAATATAAGTGTACAGTGTAAAAATATAAACACACTACCATAGAACAGGGGTGTCCAACTTTGGCAACTTTAAGGCTTGTGGACTTCAACTCCCAGACTTCTTGGTAACTCTTAAATAAGAAGTTGTTGAACTACCCGACTGTAGAATAAAATGCATTATGTTGTGCCATAAAAAAACACGTCCCTTTACCAATCATTCTGTATCAGCTCTGTCAACATTTTGGCTCCAGGGCTTGGGATAAAAGCCAATTCTTTACCAATTTTAGAATATAAAATGAGAGCAAACTCCGCTCCCTACCATTACTTACAATGCCACCTAGTTTGGGTAATGAAGCATCTGCAAGAAAACAACCAGGCTCAGAAATCACCAAGGATCCCTCATATTTACCATTTTCCTGAAGACCAAGAGTGTCAGGTCATCCGTATCTCTGAAGCAGACTCTTCCATAAGTCAGTCATCAGGACAGAAAAGGTGTGATTTTTGAAATCCCACCAGTAATACTGCTTCAATAAAGCGGTCCACGGCAGGCCCACCCTGCCAGATTTAGTAGGATGAGTAAGAAACCATTAGGGATAGATAGTCTTACAGGTAACCTGACCTCATTTAATATATGGTTTTAACACCACTGTTGTGTGAACTGTATTCCATCCAGAAGCCTACTGAGAGACAGTGCAGCCCACTCTGCAGAAATATTAGATGGGCATATTAAGGTGTATCCACCACTAACTGTGTTGCTGCGTTATGAACCAGTTGCACCTTCTGAATGCTTGTTAAGGGCAGCGTCCTATAGAGTGGATTTCAACAACTCAACTGGGAGGTGACTAAGGCATAATAAACCATGAGCAGTGCCTCCTGATCTAGGAAAGGGCACAATTGGTGCAAAATATGCATTTGTGCAAAGGCCTTCCTGGCTATGGCTGCCAATTGCCCTTTGAGCAGGACCCAAGAGTCCAAGGGAATCCCCAGACTGTATACCAATTCTGAACGAGTGTCATCCCAACCAGAGTTAAAGATATCAAAACACCAGATACTGAGGACGTTAAAACCAACAGCTACCTCAGTCTTGGTGGGGTTGAACTGAAGTTGATTCTTCCTCATCCAGATCCACATAGCATTTAGGTACTAGGAAAGTACCTTGACAGTTTGAGCAGCCCAGGGAGAGTCAAGTCCTATGGCATTCCATGTTTCCCTTCTTATGAAATCCGCTGGAAACAGCCTTGGAGGTAGGATGGTGCCTCCCAACTCAATCCCTCACCAGCTCAGGTTACCTGATTAGCAATATCAAGAGCCACTGAGAAATCAAGTAGGACCAGGATGACTACACTACCTCCATCCCTTCTAGGACCTGCCAGAGGTCATTCACAAGGATGAACAGGAGTTGCAAGTCGCTGACCAGCACAGACCAAATTAAGGAAATCAGGTAATCAAGGAGACCCAATCCCAAATTTTTTGCTGTGCAGTTTTCTGAAATCCATTCTGTGGAGAGAAACCCAGATGTTTCCCTGACTTTGACAAATGGTTTTGTTCCATCTTTGCTAAGCGCACTGTTTATCTGCACTTTTTACAGGCTATTTGGCATCGTGACTTGTTTCCTTCCCCACGGAGGGCATTCTGAACTACAAATGCTTGCCTTTTTTTATAATCCTCACAGCTATTTTCTGCCTCTGCATAGATGACTTCACAACTCTTTGAAGCTGTTAGTATTTTACAGGGTTCAGAGATCCCTCCGTCATGGCACAGTGCTTTTATATCCTTGATTCCAAAAGAGGATCAAGACCTTACTTTACCAAAGAATTACAGACCTATATCTCTCTTAAATGTTGATTATAAGATTTTTTCAAAAATTTTAGCTAATAGGCTCATGAGGGTTGTGCACCACCTCATACAAAGGGACCAATCTGGTTTTATAACTGGTAGATATATGAAAAATAATGCCAGACAAATTATTAACTTACTAGAATATTTGGACAAGAATAACCAAATTCCTGCAGCGTTGATATTTTTAGACGCTGAAAAAGCTTTTGATCAACTGAATTGGTATTTTATGTTACGAGTAATTGAAGAGATGAATTTTGGTGAAAAAATATTACAAGCTTTTACTGCGATATATCAAAAACAAACGGCACAACTTATTGTTAATGGGGGTCTGTCAGAGGTTTTTACAATAGAGAAAGGTACTAGACAGGGATGTCCATTGTCGCCGTTATTGTTTGTTTTAACATTGGAAATTTTGTTGATCAAGATTCGAGGGTCGCAGGAAATAAAAGGAATAGAAGTTAACAAAAAAGAATATAAGTTGAGAGCTTTTGCAGATGATTTGGTGGTTACTTTGTCTCAACCTATTTATTCTGTAGTAATGTTATTGCAGCTGATTCATCAATATGGACTGGTTTCGGGTTTCAAGATCAATGTTAATAAGACTAAGATATTACCTAAAAATATGACTACTCGGGATAAACAAATTTTGGCTAATCTGACTGGTTTTGAAATTGTTAATAAGGTAAAATACCTGGGGGTTATTTTATCTGTTTCTAATGCAAAACTGTTTAAGAATAATTATGAAAAGTTGTGGGTTAGGAAACAGAAAGACTTGAGGAATTGGGAGAAGTTGCAGCTATCTCTCATGGGAAGAATTGCACTGATTAAAATGAATGAATGAACAGCAAACAGGGTGAACTAGAAATTCAGGTTAATGAGGGCAGATACGATATTGTTGCCATTACGGAAACATGGTGGGATGAAACTCACACATGGAACACACAGCTAGAGGGATTTAAATTATTTAAAAGAAACAGACCAAATAAAAGAGGAGGTGTAGTTGCTCTCTATATAAGAAATAACTACATCTCCACAGAAATAGAGTACAACAATGATAAAAACTGTCTTGAATGCATTTGGGTCAATATAAAAGGGGGGGGAAATGACATTGCCATAGGTGTATACTACAGACCACCCAACCAAACAGAGGAAATAGATGAACTTTTTGCTAGTCAGCTAACTAAGGTATGTAGGAAGCACATCACAATAGTAATGGGGGACTTTAACTACCCTGACATCAACTGGGAGACAAACTCCGCACCAAGTGGAAGATCAAACAGGTTCCTGGCAAACCTAGCAGACAACTTTGTCTCCCAAAAAGTAGAGAAGGGAACTAGGGGATTAGCCATTTTGGATCTAATTCTCACTAACAGAGATGAAATGATAGACGGTGTTGAAGCCATAGGAACCCTGGGAGGAAGTGATCATGCAATATTAGAATTCAACATTATAGAAGCACAACCAATAGAACACAGTCAAACTAGAGTCTTGGACTTCAAGAGAGCTAATTTCAATAAACTTAGAGAGGGCTTGGGAAGGATTCCATGGATGAGAATCCTCAAGGGGAAAACAACTCAAGAAGCTTGGGAAATTTTGAAAAATGAGATAATAAAAGCACAGTCTAGCACAATACCAACAAAGAGGAAAAACAACAGCTCTCAAAAGAAACCAGCATGGCTGCATAAAGAACTCTCTGACAAATTGAAAGATAAAAAGGACAAGTATAGAAAGTGGAAAGAGGGGAACATAACTAAGTCAGAATATCAGCAAATAGCCCGAGCCTGCAAAGATGAAGTGAAGAAAGCCAAGGCTCAAAATGAACTAAGGCTTGCGACCAAAGTCAAAAATAACAAAAAAAGCTTCTTTCAACATGTAAAAAACAAGAAAAAAGTGAAGGAAATGATTGGTCCATTAGTGGGTGGAAGTGGCAAGAAGGTGACAAGCAACAGGGAGAAAGCAGAACTATTTAACTCATTTTTTGCATCTGTCTTTACACAAAGGGAAAAAACAGACCAACCTATCAAAAATAGTGCCATAAAAAACAAAACAGAAACACAAGTTAAGATAGGCAAGAAAATGGTTAGGGAGCACCTGTCCAGCCTAGATGAGTTCAAATCGCCAGGACCAGATGGATTACACCCCAGAGTTCTCAAGGAACTGGCAGATGTGATATCGGAGCCACTGAAGTATATTTTTCAAAGATCTGGAACACAGGGGAACTACCAGAGGACTGGAAAAGAGCTGATGTAGTTCCCATCCTCAAAAAAGGAAAAAAAAATGGATCCAGGAAATTACAGACCTATCAGCCTGACCTCAATACCTGGGAAGATCCTGGAAAAGATAATCAAACAACGAATCAACGAACACCTAGAGGCAAACAAAGTCATTACTAAAAGCCAACATGGGTTTGTCAAAAATAGATCATGCCAGACAAATCTTATTGCATTCTTTGACCAAGTGACAAAATTAGTGGATCAGAGGAATGCTGTGGACATAATTTACTTGGACTTCAGTAAGGCATTTGATAAAGTAGATCACAACCTACTACTTGACAAGATAGAAAAATGTGGGGTAGACAGAACCACCACCAGATGGATCCGTAGCTGGCTGACCGGCCGTACTCAGCGAGTGGTCCTCAATGGAACTGCATCTATATGGAGGGAAGTGTGTAGTGGGGTGCCCCAGGGCTCTGTTCTGGGCCCAGTACTCTTCAACATCTTCATCAACGATTTGGATGAAGGGATAGATGGGGAACTCATCAAATTTGCAGACGACACCAAGCTGGCAGGAATAGCCAACACTCCAGAAGACAGGCTTCAGATACAGAAGGATCTGGACAGACTTGAACACTGGGCACTAACTAACAAAATGAAATTCAATGGTGAAAAAAGCAAGGTTCTACATTTAGGCAAGAAAAACCAAATGCACAAGTACAGCATAGGTGGCACCATGCTCAATAGTAGTAACTGTGAGAGGGACCTCGGAGTCCTAGTAGACAATCACTTAAATATGAGCCAGCAGTGTGCTGCAGCTGCCAAAAAGGCCAACACAGTGCTAGGCTGCATTAACAGAGGGATAGAATCAAGATCACGTGAAGTATTAATACCACTCTTCAATGCCTTGGTAAGGCCACACTTGGAATACTGCATCCAGTTTTGGTCACCACGATGTAAAAAAGATGTTGAGACTCTAGAAAGAGTACAGAGAAGAGCAACAAAGATGATTAGGGGACTGGAGGCTAAAACATATAAGGAACGGTTGCTAGAATTGGGTATGTCTAGTTTAACGAAGAGAAGGACAAGGGGGGACATGATAGCAGTATTCCAATATCTCAGGGGCTGCCATAAAGAAGAGGGAATTAAGCTATTTTCCAAAGCACCTGAAGGCAGGACAAGAAGCAATGGGTGGAAACTAATCAAGGAGAGAAGCAACCTAGAACTAAGGAGAAACTTCCTGACAGTGAGAACAATTAATCAGTGGAACAGCTTGCCTCCAGAAGCAGTAAATGCTCCAACACTGGAAGTTTTTAAGAAGAGACTGGACAGCCATTTGTCCGAAATGGTGTAGGGTTTCCTGCCCGAGCAGGGGGTTGGACTAGATGACCTCCAAGGTCCCTTCCAACTTTACTACTATTACTATTATTATTATAATGTCCTACCCAAGTTTCTTTTTTTGTTTCAAATGTTACCGATTTTGAAGAATGAGATTAATTTAAACGAATGGCAGAAAGGTATTAATAAATTTATTTGGGCAGGGAAAAAACCAAGGGTAAAGTTTAAAATCATGCAAGATTCCCGTGAGAGAGGTGGACTCAAGGTACCGAATTTGAAATTATACCATGATGCGGTGGCTTTAACATTAATTAGTGATTGGGTAAATTTAACAAACTTGGAGATACTCCATCTGGAGGGATGGGACTTACTTTTCGGTTGGCATGCCTATTTAATATTTAATAAGAAAGTGGATCGGGTTTTTAAATCTCATATTATAAGAACTTCTTTACTTAGGGTTTGGAGAAAATATTATAAAAGTGATTTTAAAATACCACTATGGGCTATACCTTGGCATGCGATAGAGGGCATAAGGAGAGGTGTTAAAATGGATACGGTGTCTTATACACAATTACTTAGATGGGATGGACATAACTGGCAGTTAAAATTATTGGAAGAGTTAGTACATGAAAATATTACTTATTCTTGGTTTCAATATAGACAATTAGCAGATAGATGGAAGTTGGATCATAAGGTGGGTTTTCTTAGAGAAGATGAAAATCTTTTTAAGCAAGTAAAGGATCAAAGACAAACCCATATTAAGAGAATTTATGGGGTTCTAGTGGAACTGGATTCAGAATCAGAATTAATTAAAGATTGTATGATTAAATGGGCGCAGAATTTTGGAGAACCATTTCCACTGGATATCTGGGAAATTATCTGGGTGAGGAATGTTAAATTTACACAAGCCCAGAATTTAAGGGAGAATTTTTATAAAATGTTTTATAGATGGCACCTTGATCCACAAAAAATGTCTCTCATGTATCCTGACCTACAGCCTAAATGTTGGAGATGTGGTTGTTTGGATGCCACCTATTATCATATTTGGTGGTCGTGTAAAAATATAAAAGCTTTTTGGATTAAGATATGGTGGAATATTCAGAGAATCTTTAGAAAGAGGGTAAAATTTACTCCACAATTATTTTTGTTAGGTATAGTTACTGATTGCGATGCAAAGGAGGTTATATTGATGTTGAATCTGATCACAGCCGCAAGGTTGTTAGTAGGACAATACTGGAAGAAGGAATCTTTGCCTACCTTGCAGGAGTGGTTTTTTAAAGTATCCTACCTGGCGGAAATGGCAAAGATTTTGGCTTTCTTAAAAGAACAATCGCAAGAGAAATTTTTTGCTATTTGGGACAAATGGATAAAGTTTATACAATTTAAATTGGATATAAAAAAATATTATTTAGCTTTTTTATAATTTTTATTTTTATATATATATATATATATTATTGTTAATCCTTTTTATATAATTTTTTTTAACTTTTTAAATTAAGCCTATATTCTGCTCTGGGAAGCTCCGGGGGGGGAGGGTGTGGGTGGTTTGGGGAGGGTTGGGGGAGGTTTGTTTTGTTTTGTTTAATCCTGTTCTTTTTTGTTGTTGTATTGTTGTTTTCTGTTTTTTGTAAAAACTTTTAAAAATTTTTCAATAAAAAAAAAAAAAAAAGAAACCAAGCCTGCAATGCCTGGGCCCACTGAGCACAGACACCCCAGATATGCATCAGAAGACCATCCTGTAGTTTTGAGAAGTGGTGTTAAGTTTGCACAATACTCACATGGCCGTGAAGGTCAGTGTTAAGCAGCATCATTGCACATGTGAGGCAATGGACTCCATCTGTAGGATTAAAAACACCCAAAGCATGACATATAGAAAGCTACACAGGAAAAAAGAAAATCACACTTCCCACTTTTTCCGTCTGTTTAAGAACCATGCCAATTAAGCTGGAACCCCCTGCAGCCTAATTAACACTCTCCAAAGCAGTTTCCGTATAAAGACATACACAGCATTAATCAAGAAAGAGATATCTCATGAAATTAAATCACTGGTAGAGAGAGGAGGCCAGCCTGATTTTGTTTATTAGTGGAGAGCTACCCCATAAAAGTCATGTTTTGAAGAACCACCGCATAGGTGTTTATACCTGGTAGTAGCTCAGCTGCAGAATTTGATCATGATTCTGTTTTACTTTTTGCAATTGGGCCTACAATCCTGTTAAACCAGCAGGCTTAGCCAGACTCCGTCTAACTGAAACCATTTCCTATGAGACCAACTAGACCAGACATGTCAAACTGCGTGGCCCGTGGGCCAGATGCGTCACACCGAAATTGCGCCCACCCCATTGCCGGCAATGGGGAAAAGTCGCGATACATCGCACGACATCACATGATGTTGCGAGTTTCACATGCCTGAATTAGACTCTAGCTAATGTCATGATGCATACGGAAAATATGTGCAGGGTTTGCTTTGGGTGGTATAATATTTTTGTCATATCGGACCCTTTTAGGCAGCCTCCATGGACACTTCTGTCGGGAATTTGTCTCAAACATCTTCCCGGTTCTTCTTTGCTGTTTCCACATGTTATGTTTATGAAGCTACCAGCTTGAGTGCGCTTTATACATGTGTACTTGATTACAATCGTTCACGGTCTCTGCTTTTGCCTAAGGAGGTTCTCAGTTATCCAGGTCACGATTGTCCCAAAGGTGCTTTTTCAAAAGGCAACTGGATTTCTTTGTTCTTCCTTGAAGACGTTTCGTTTCTTATCCACGAAGCTCCTTCAGTTCTGACTCAGTCAGAATTCAATCAGAACTGAAGAAGCTTCTTGGATGAGAAGCAGAACGTCTTCAAGAAAAAACAATGAAATTAAAGTTTTTTGGGGGGAAGCAATAACAGGACATTGGTCCTACAAGGATATTAAGTGGAAACACTAAAAATTATCGATAAATGTAATAAAGATGTTTCTACTTAGTTGATAAAAATAAGAATTGTTTTTGCCCAATATGAGATAACAGATATTATTGGAAAGAGAGAGGAAATATTTGATGTTCTAATATTAGACTTAAACTAAAAATGTATGCATATTACTGAATTATTGGTTAACCCAGACAATGCCTGTAATAGTTTTGATTTATTAGAGGAGATACTGTATTATCAATTAGGTGGTTGAATATGGTGGGAAATAGATAACTTTTAGAAAACAGAGCAATATTATAATCAAATAGATAAGATGTGTAACCAGAATATTAGACTTTGGTATGAAAAGGGAAAAAGGAAAAAAGTTGAGATAAGGGAAACTTGTGGTCACCTAAACATAAAATACTTGGAAATCATAAATAATAGCGTTACTTTGAATATTGATGGGAAATTAAAGCCTGAAATAACAGGACATTGATTGTATATAAGGATTAAGTGCAAATGCAATTAAGATATTTAAGCTAAAAATTATTGATAACTGTAACAAAGATGTTTTTATTTAGTTGATAACAATAAGAATTGTACTAGCCCAATATGAGATAACAGATATTAATGGAAAAAGAGAGGAAATATTTGATGTTGTAAAGCAGCGGTTCTCAACCTGTGAGTCGCGGCCCCTTTGGGGGTCGAACAACCCTTTCACAGGGGTCGCCTAAGACCATCAGAAAACACATATTTCCGATGGTCTTAGGAACCGAGACACCACTCTTCTATCTCAGAGTTTTTCAACCAGGATACCGATCGAACATTCCAATGCCCACCCGCTGGGAAACCGATCCAGGCACTGCAGCAGAAGCCGCAAACTGTGGGGGATCCCTGCCGCCACCAGCAGAGCCGGCTACAATAGAGCACTAGCCAGCTGCTTCAACCAGGTGCCGGCAGCCTTCTCAGGATGCCTCACCCATTGGTGACATTGCCGCGCCACATTCCATGATGCCAGGGAATCCCCGCCCCGCCAGAGCCAGCCACAATGGAGTGCCAGCCAGCTGCTCTAACCAGGCACCGACAGGCCATCCTAGGGTGCACCAGAGTCCCACACACCACCTGGTAGGCTGCCATCAGCTGTTCTTCCTGCATGGCATTTCTGGCGGCCAGCTGCATGCTTCGGTGGCTGGCTGCGTGGGCCCCTTTCCTCATAGGAATGTGGAGCCCGCGGGGCTTGACAGCAACAATGGTGCCGCACACTCAGTAGCCACCTTTCAAGCACCAACCCCCGCCCAGCACTCATTGGCCATTATGCACTGCCTGTCGGGCGCAGCACGATTTCATCGGGCCATGGCAGCACCTCGAGGCAATCACCGACTCCTCAGCTCAGGCCGGCCACCAGTAAGAATTTATGTCCCTTGATTGATTGGCTCCCTCATTGTGTCCCTCCCCCACAGAAAGGGCATGGCTCTTATGCAGGCTTGCCCCCTCGTGGGGCTCCTGATTGGCCCTGCGCCCAGGTGCCCCACTCCCTGAGAAGTGCGGCCAGGAAGTCCCTTTCCCAGGGAACTGCGTGATCCCGGCGCTACCATAGGCCCCGCTGGCCGGGAAGGTGCACCGGAGTCCCGGCTCCCAGGAAGGCAATCGGCTCGCTCCTCTCCCATCGCCTGCTCTGCCCGGCTCAAGCCTGGCTGGAGCATCATTGGTACTTCGAAAGGTGGCCACTTCAAGGTCACACGGGTAGCCCTCGGCCACTCCCTCCCCCTCCGCACCTCCAAATCAATCCCCGATCAGAGAGAGGGTGGGAGGGAGGGAGAGAGGGAGAGAAAGAGAGAGGGAGAGAAAGAGAGAGAAAGAGAGAGGGAGAGAAAGAGAGGGAGAAAGAGAAAGAGGGAGAGAAAGAGGGAGAGAAAAAAAGGGAGGGAGAGAAAGAGGGAGAGGGAGGGAGAGAGAAAGAGAGGCAGAGAGAAAGGGAGAGAGAGAGAAAGAGAGAGGGAGAGAGAAAAAAGAGGGAGAGAAAGAGAGGGAGAAAGATAGGGAGAAAGAAAGAGGAAGAGAGAGGGAGAGAGAAAGAAAAAGGGAGAGAAAGAGAGGGAGAAAGAAAGAGGGAGAAAGAGAAAGAGGAAGGGAGAAAGAGAGGGAGAGAAAGAGAGGGAGGAAGAGGGAAAGAGAAATAGAGAGGGAGAGAGAGAAAGGGAGAGAGAGAGATGGAGAGAGAGAAAGAGAGAGAAAGAGGGAGAGAGATTAAATTAGTAACATGGTTCTTAAGCAAAATTACAGTTATGAAGTAGCAACGAAAATAATTGTATGGTTGGGGGTCACCACAACATAAGGAACTGTATTAAAGGGTCGCGACATTAGGAAGGTTGAGAACCACTTTTGTAAAGGGAGTGAAGCTATTTTCCAAAACGCCTGAAGGCAGGACAAGAAGCAACGGATGGAAACTAATCAAGGAGAGAAGCAACTAGAACAAAGGAGAAACTTCCTGACAGTTAGAACAATTAATCAGTGGAACAACCTGCCTCCAGAAGTGGTGAATGCTCCATCACTGGAAGTTTTTAAGAAGAGACTGGACAGCCATTTGTCTGTAATGGTATAGGGTTTCCTGCCTGAACAGGGGGTTGGACTAGATGACCTCCAAAGGCCCTTCCAACTTTATTATTATTATTATTATGGATCATTGCACAGTCAGCCAGATGTTCAGACTGGATTTAGCATTTTGTCTACCTATCGAGTCCTTACCCAGGACCTGGGATAGGCAGATGTGGATGTTTGATGGTATTACAGATATCGTCACAGGATGGAAGCAGTTCCTAGTAAGGCCGCCTTTTGCAATTGACTAATAGCGAATTTGTCAATGCCAATGGTGTTCAAGTGGTGCTCCAGTTGTTTTGGGATTGCACCCAAGAAGCCTATTGCTATTGGTACTACCCTGGCTTGTTTTTGCCACAGTCTTTCTATTTCTATTTGTAGGTCTTTGTATTTTGTTATCTTCTCCAGTTCTTTCTCGTCTATTCTGCTGTCTCCAGGCACTTATTATTATTATTATTATTATTATTATTATTATTATTATTATTATTATTATTATTATTATCATCATCATCATCAGATTTATACTAAAGATTTATGTACACTATTGAACTATTGATTAACCCAGTCATCACATTGCTTTTTAAATATCCAATTGTACAATGAGAAAATCAATAAAATATTATAATAAAAAAAAAGAAAAGAAAAAACAAAGAAAGTCCAGTTGCCTTTTGAAAAAGCACCTTTGGGGTGGCTTCTGTTTTTCCTCTTATCTCAATAAACTTTCCACAAGGTCAACTTCAAATTATGAAACATTCACAGCAACATTTGTGTGTGTGTGCACACGTTTGCTTTAAATAAAACAGAAGAAAAAAGAAAACAAGATCTGCTCTGCTGAATTTGATTCGGTGTGGCCTCCCAAATGTTTGGATACATTTGTATAATTAAAGCTATACAAGGAGGAAAACCTTACAAGCACATCGTAATAGTGATTCCCACCCATCAGGCTTGCCTCCTTAATCGGGCAATAAATGATGGACAGCCTCGGTGAAAGATGTTCTTTATGCAAATACCTGAAAAGGATTCTAGTGATTCAAGCAACAAACTCAGTGAATACTCAATTCCAAAAATAAATGAAAGCCATAAATATTTTATAACCGACTGGATTGCATTTTCACTCAGCTAGTTTGGGTTTATGGACATCTTGGGCTGGGGATGGCTTATCTTGGATTTCTGGGGTGGTCTAGTGTGTTTATAATATTAAAATAGTCACTATGAAGTCTGCTAGAGCAGAGGTTCTCAACCTGTGGGTCAGGACCCCATTTGGGGTCGAACAACCATTTCACGGGGGTCACCAAACAATGCAGTCCGCCATTTTCCCCCCTTTTCCTTAGCTGTGCTACTCCCTTTTATTCTATTGGCTTTTGAAAGCCAATAGAATAGACTCTCTTGAATAGAGTCTAATTCTATTGGCTTTCAAAGCCAATAGGAATTGTCCAGGCTGTCTCTGCCCTGCTGAGCCCGCCAAAAGTCCCATTCTGCAAACGGTGCTGCACCAGTTGAGTAGTCCTCGACTTACGGCCGGTTGAGTAGTCCTCGACTTACGACCGGTTGGGGGTCGCGGCATTAAAAAGGTTGAGAACTACTGTGCTAGAGTAAAAGTGACAATAAGACAAACCTATCTTAACACTGAGAAAGGATTGTTACCTTGTGTGGAAATAGCACTGGGGTTGCATTGGAGGTATCTGCTGGAGAAATGAACTAGAACTCTCTCTCTTTCCTGAGTTTCTCCGATGAGGGAAAAAGCTTTAAAAAATGTCCTAAAAAAGAATTTAAACGGGGAAAAAGCAATGTCAAATTACTCCTATTCCAAGGTTATGAATTAAGGATAACTTTTTCAGAATTGAAGATAGCTTGAATGAAGCACGTGTCATCCCATGTATGTATGGTTGCAGTTATTACTGAGTATGTTACAATACAAAACCCTACTACTATTTAGCTACTAATCCTACTTAAAAGAAAGATGAGGTATGTATTTTAAGATTCTTTAAAATCTACTGCCAATCTATAAAATATTTGCTAGTTTATGCTAGCAAATACTTGCTAGAAATATCTGTAGGTATAGCAAACATACAGTAACCTTTGCTATAATTTCTAGGACTAAGGAATTGGAGGAAAACAAGAGGAAAAGGAGAGATAGGATTAGCTATTTTCTTAAACATGATTAAATGAAATCTCTATGTCAGGGGTTCTCAACCTTGGCAACTTTAAGACTTGTGGACTTCAATTCCCAGAATTCCTCAGCCAGCAAAGCTGAGCAAAGCTGGCTGAGGAATTCTGGGAGTTGAAGTCCACAAGTCTTAAAGTTGCCAAGGTTGAGAACCCCTGCTCTATGTGGATATAGTTTTCCTTTGGCACTGGGCTTAATTTAAATGTGTCTTCCAGCAGAGAGCGTGCATCCTGAAAAAAACATGCCTTCAAGTCTATCAACCTACAGCAGTAATGTTTTTTTTTTTAAAAAAAAAAAAGATGCAGCTGTCATCACTTTTCAGTTTTCTCTTCTAACTCTTTCACAGCCCTGCTGTTACTTCTTGTTCTTTCTCCTGCCATTACCTCATGCAACTGCACAATCAACTTTTTCACAAAACCTTTTAAAATAAACACGAACAAATTACATAGGAGGTCCATCCTAATTTGTGGCTATTTTAAAGAAGGCACATGTGGAGGCAGGACTACATCCTACTCCAATTCAACTCTGATGGCTGCTTTCCAAGGCCCATGTCACATTCATTTCTCCCTGGATGTAACAGGAGAAAATAGAACTTTGTGGTAAAACAGGTGCAATTGTATATTGAAAGTCTCTCCTATAATTTTTGGTATCTGCAGTTCGAATGATCTAGTAACAACAGATGAGAAATACTTCTGCCTGGACAGTTGTAAGAGTTAAAATAATTCAGAAAGTGGAGGAGGAAGAGAAGAAACGGATCTCTTTATCTTCTAGAATTCACTTTGAATCAAAGTAATACTAAAAAAAATCACAGACCACTTGATTGCAGACTTTTAATGGGATACAGGCATTGAAATATCTGTAGAATCCTTCATAGGAAAAGATAATAAGAACAATTTCCTCTGATGGCTCCCAAAATACGGTTCAGTGCACAAGACTGTCAGATGGATCATTATTGTTCAAGCTAGGCAATCAAACTAGTATTTTACACTACAAATCTGAATTAGCTCAGTAAGTTGAGTTTTTCCCAGAAATGATTCCAATTACTTCTCACCATGACCATGAATTTTATGATTTTTGTAGTTTTATATAGTGTTTATGGTTTTAAATTGTTGTAATGTTTTGCTATTTTCAACTGTTTGAAAGCCACCCAGAGCCAAATATTGAGCTAGGTGGCTAATCAGTACATATTTGATAAATGAATAAATCAGTGTTCCCCAACACTGGCAACTTTAAGCTATGTGGATGTCAACTCCCAGAACTGGGGAATTCTGGGAATGGAACCTAACACAACTTAAAGTTGCCATGAATGGGAAATATTGAAATAAAAAAAAAATGAACGATTTTTTATCCTAAGCTAGAAATGAATGTGTGTGTGTGTGTGTGCGTGTTTATGTATGTGTATATGTGTATGCTTGTGTGTATGTTTGTGTATATGTGTATGTTTGTGTGTATGTATGTGTATATGTGTATCTTTGTGTGTATGTATATGTGTATGTGTGTGTGTGTGTGAGAGAGAGAGAGAGAGATTGAGAGGAGGCAGATGGCGCTAATGAGTGACAGCAAAAGACTTGGAACCAACATGGACAGGGACGATGACAGCAAGAAAAAACAACCAGCTGAAATGGTAGCATCGCATATGCAAATGTCAGAAAAGTAGCAAGATGACTGCGTGCAGCAGAACGCACACTCCACACAGGCGGGGCGCAAGGAGAGGAACAGGGCGCCAAAATTCAAACAGCTGTCAAAAAGCGTGATGGAAACAACAGAGCAATTAACTATGGGGGAGGCGGGAGCCGAATAGACTGGTAACATGCTCGCTAGCCAAATGCTTGGCATTACAGATACTATAAGAACGTGATTCTCAATCCTGGCTACAACTCTGACGATGTCAGCAGACGCTGACGAAAGCTAAGTTTTTAAATAAATTCTTTAGTCTTGGTGATCTGTGTTTTAGTTTTTGAATACGAATATACCCGAGACTCGTATCTTCAAAACGATTTTTTATAGATAGATAGATAGATAGATAGATAGATAGATAGATAGATAGATAGATATGATGTATGTATGTATGTATATGTATATGTATGTGTGTGTGTGTGTATATATATATGTGTGTGTGTGTGTGTGTGTGTGTACACACACACACACACACACACAGTATGTGTGATATGAATTAATGAAGGAAGGAAGGAAGGAAGGAAGGAAGGAAGGAAGGAAGGAAGGAAGGAAGGAGCAAAGGAATGGCACCTGAAATGAGAATTCTGCTCCCAGGCATTTAAAAGACTTAAAATGGACCTAATTATATACTGGTTAAATGTATGCAAATGAAGTGGATGCTGGCACAGGTTTAGCACTAGTTTACCCATGGTGCAGCATCTAGACACACATAACTTAAGTATAGCATTTTACTTGGATGAGAAATGATACATGAAAATACTCTCTTCTTACCTGAGAGAGTAATCCAAAGACATGCCCGTGAAATCAAAGAACTTGAGGTATTCTTCAGCTACCAGCTTACTAAACTCATTGCTTCAACAGAAAAAGAAAAGGCATAGATCAGGTTATTAGGAAATCAACTCAGATGCATTCTCATAACATTCTAAGGATTCAATGTTAAAGGCTGAAAATTGGAACACACACTTTTTCCCCAAATGCTTTGCCACGTCAGATCGTTTGAACCTATCCAGATGATAGAGGCGCTTTGCCAGCCTCCGCGCAGCCTCCACGTTGCCACCGGTTGTGCCATTGATGAGGTCCTGGCTCAGGTTTTCATGTCCCTCTTTTTCCAGAATATCATGGCTGCCCATATCCCCTGTGGCATCTAATGGTGTAGTACATTCCAGTCTTGCATTGCTATGAAACAGGAGAGAATATTAACAGAAGGAACAAGAGGAGAAAACAAAATTAATGTTATTTTAAGTGCAAATCATTTATGGCAACAAACAAATAACAGATTATTAGAAAGCTTTCATTACATTCTATGCACAAATTAAAATGGACATAGTACACTTCTCTTGCAACTACAGAAATGAATGGAATTTTCCACTTTCTCATTTTAAGGCAGTGGTTCTCAACCTGTGGGTCGGGACCCCATTTGGGGTCGAACGACCATTTCATGGGGGTCGCCAAACAACGCAGTCCACCATTTTTTCCCCTTTTCCTTAGCTGTGCTACTCCCTTTTGTTCTATTGGCTTTTGAAAGCCAATAGAATAGACTCTCTTGAATAGAGTCTAATTCTATTGGCTTTCAAAAGCCAATAGGAATTGTCCCAGGCTGTCTCTGCCCTGCTGAGCCCGCCAAAAGTCCCATTCTGCAAACGGTGCTGCACCAGTTGAGTAGTCCTCGACTTACGACCGGTTGAGTAGTCCTCGACTTACGATCGGTTGGGGGTCGCGGCATTAAAAAGGTTGAGAACTACTGTTTTAAGGAGACTTTCTGAGACAAACTTCCTAGACTTCTTTTATTTTTCCTTTCAGCTACTATTTCTAAGTTCAGAAACCTCAAACCTTAATGTTAATTCAGAGATCTTAATAGAATTGCTGCCCAAATTTTAGTGCACCATATGTTCAAAAACCCGGAAACCTTGTTGTAGGTCTCAAAGCTGTAAAAGAAGGCGGGTAAAATAGTTGTGAAGAGACTAGTCTTGTCAAAGAAATTTATAAAAATTTTGAACATCTGCACACATAACTCTTAATGAAAGCCAAAAAAAATTAAATACAGTCTGAAAAAGAAAATTCTTCATGGTGTCTGTTACAGTTCCCGTGTTTTAAATCCAAAACTTTGTAAATAATAAATATTTTGATTAGGTATGATCACCATAATGTATTTCGGGTGCTAAAATTCTGTGCAGCTCTTTTCATTATAAGATGTGACTAATTTTTTAAAAAACAAAACAAATGCAAGAATTAAAATTAGGAGTGTGTGAAACATTTCATTTTGACCTATCTGAAGTGTGAAATTTTGTGACGTCCCATTTTGAGTGTAAAATCAATATTTTTCAGACAAAAAGCGGCTTCATGCTTGAAACGTGATGCTTCACAAAATCATCTTGAAATGGGTGCAAACATTTTGCACATTCCAAGTTATAAAGCCTTTAATTAAGTAAATAGTGCCATCAAGCTAAATTTAGTAAACTCTTCCCAGCTGAGATGACTTTATTTAATTTATTAAGCTTAACATATTTATTTAGAGCATTTATACCTCACGCAAGGGTTCCCAAAACAGCTTGTGCAACCATGAAAATACAAAAGAGACATTGTCGAAGGAAAAAGACATGGGAAGGAAAGAGACAGCAAAATATCTCAGGGATATGTTCTTAAGGTTTCATCATTACTATAACGGCCAACTATGAGAAAAATAATTTGTTCAGGCAAGCCCAGATGATACTATCACCCTTATGGAAAAAGTCATCTTGTTTTACTCCAGCACCACTCAGCAATTTTTTTTTCAGTTAAACACACATTTATTTATTTATGAAACTTACATACTGCTCCATTTCTAAAAGACTCTAGGTTTTACCCACTATAAAGGTATCATTATCTTCAAGATTGTCCCAAATGAAGGGACACTTTTCGATCAAATGTAATATAAACGAAGACTTTTCTGGTTCCAATCTGGGACTCTATATATTCAAACAGCTTTATTTCAAATTGTGGAGAGACCTAATTTTAAAACACTTCTTATTGTAGTAAAAGCCAATACGGTGCAATAGTCTCCATTAAACATTACAACACAGGAAGAAGAAATGCGATGGCACACTATGAAAAAGCCATCTCAATGATAGCTGCAATGAATCCATCAAATGTGCTGCTGCTATGAAGTATTTTTCACAACCTGTTTCATTTTTATTGCTTTATAGCCCTCTCGTTGGCATAACTACTTGATTAAGTGTGAATCGTGTGATAATACAATGACTGGTTTTGAAACATAACCGAAGCACCCTATCTGGAAAGTGTTCTTAATAGGCCACTACCACCACCACTACCACCACCACATCTTTGATGTGTCACAACATTTAGACATATGGTCAACAGCATACCAAAATATAGGTTTTTCTGCAACAAATGTGATGGCCTCAGGGCTGTAAGGAGAGCTGGTTCATACTATTCCTTTATTAGGCATATGGGTAAAATGGGGAAGAAAATATAAAACAGATATACATATATGTCATGAGGGGTCCTTGATGCTCTCTGAGCTTGCTCGTTTTCTCACAGACATTTCATTATCCTAACTAGGTAACATCATCAGTGCTAGTAAAGAGCAAGCAAGCAAGCTCAGAGAGCACAAAGAACCCCTCATTTCAACCCTGAGCTACAAATATTGTCCTTCATTGATGTATGTCATGGCTTAAGGCTCCCTTTTGCCACTTCTGCATAAACTCTTTAATCTCCTATATATGCCAACCTGGGTGATTTGTAACGTGACCAACCATCCTCCTTTAGGGAGGACAGTCCTCCTTTTGTAAGTTCTGTCCTCCCTCAAAAAGTGTCCTCCTACATGTCCTCCTTTTCGATATTTGAAGACTAATCTGCAGGGCTTTTTTTTCTCATAGAATGCTCAGAATGGTGTTCCGGCACCTTTTTTTGATGGTTTTTTTTTTTCAACTTTTGCATGAGATGTGCTACTCCCCCTATTGGCTTTCGAAAGCCAATAGGAATTGCTGCTGAGCGCAGCCGGCAAACTTTGCACATGCAAGTTTCTGCAGCGAAGGCAAATTGGCAGGAACTTTGCACCCCTCCCTGCTACTCAACTACACCATCTCCTAGTTAGTCCCGAAGATACCTGGAGGAGACTGGAGTGGCGACACCACAGTAAGTTTCTCTTGATCTTCGGCCCTGCTAGGGCAATAATGGCTGCGGGCGCAAGAGGCAGGGGCAGCGGGGCTGCTGCAGGCAGGGATGTGAGGGGTGGCGGCAGCTGGCTGCCCCCCATGCTGTGGGAGCCGCAGGGCCCGCTCTACACAGGGCTGCGCAGGGTGGGCGGTGGTGCTGGCAGGGTAGCTGCAGGCGGGGTATGTCAATGGCAGGCTATCTCCCGGGGCCGGAGCTGGCGCGGCTGGTGCTTTGGGAGTCGCGGGGCCCACTCTGCATTTATTATATTATAGTGTATTCTGTATTATTGCTGCAATGAATAAAATGTTTCTTTTATTTACAATATTTTTTTTCTTCAATTTATTTGTGTGCTCCTTTTCACTGTAAAAAAGTTGGTCACCTTATGATTTGGTCCCACCCACTTCAATGACATTATGACATCACTAATTCTACACCCAGCAGCCCTCAGGCAGAAAAAGCCTGCTCACCTCTGTTTTCAAGTCAGCAAAACATCATGGCCAAATAGTCCATTCTGAGTGCTAAACTAGCATTAACAATAACCCTGGTTAATAATGTGTTTATGACACCAGCTTTATGAAAAGCCTCTAGAGAGAAAAGCAATTCAAACTCTATATTGGCGATGGCAAATAAAAATATTCCCATTTGCATTCAGTTGTAGTACAATCCACTCTAGTCATTATCTCTAAAAGGAGGAAATATCATCTTAACAGTATATTGCTGATTGTATGTATACCAATCATAGAAAAGAAGGAAGCAAGACAAATGAGTAGGCAGGCTGGTGAAAGCCTGTTACTAAAGGAGGAAGATTTAAAAAAAGAAAGAGCCAAAAACCTAAGGAAAATATTATAAATAAAATTAAGGAAGAAATTAAACCAGAAAGGTCTTGCCAACCACTACTGGTTGTATGTTTCAAACAGAGACATCAAGGCTCAAAATATACAGATGTAGTATTCCAAAATTTATTGCCGAAATCTAAAGCTTCAGGTCTATTAATTTGGTTAGGAAATGTCATGGCCTATAATGGAAATCCGTTTGATACTTTTTAAAACAATTCTATTGAAGGTTAATGTTGATTGTTTGATGCTCAGACTTTCTGCCCTAAAACAGTCTAACAAATCTTGCATACGGATAAGGGATGTATTCCTAGTTCTTGTTTGACTACCAAATCTCTTTACCAGTGGTTCTCAACCTGTGGGTCGGGACCCCATTTGGGGTCGAATGACCATTTCACGGGGGTCGCCAAACCACGCTGTCCGCCATTTTTTTTCCTTTTCCCTAGCTGTCCTACTCCCTCTTATTGGTGGCCACACCCACTTGGGGGTCACCACAACATGGGGAACTGTATTATGGGGTCACGGCATTAGAAAGGTTGAGAACCACTGCTCTTTACAATATATTTCTGTAAATCATTTTTTTCCAGAATTAGTTCTTATATTACCATCATATAAGCCTTAAGATTTAAGTAAGATGAAAACTGAGCAATGGTATGATAGAATTGTTAAATCTTAAGTTAGTGTCTGGTTGCAAAAACAGCAAAAACTCCAAATAAATGTACAGCCCCACACTCCAATTCAACCTTAGCAAAATTTAGTTAGCAGAGCAGATGTACTCCATTAGGTTTATTTCAAAGAAGCTAGAGATGTATGTCTCAGAGATTCCATCACAATTGGCCCTAGAGAATTGTGAACCAACCTCCATGAAGGCAAATCCACATAACCATGTATCTGGAAAGTTTCAAAAGAATTTCCATTACAGTTCCCAAATTCAGTATTCAGCATTATGAAAAATAGCCCTAAAATTACATTAAGTTGGAAGAGGCTGGCTACAGACAGAATTCCTTATACTGTCATTTCTTTGCTTCAAATTCCTTTGCCCTCTCATCTGTAAAAATAATTTGGTGTATTTACCATGGATATCAATGAAATATCCCAATGCACTGATTATAGCATTTAGTATCAGCAGTCCAATTATATCAGCCACAGTTTTTACTCAATACCAACATTTAACCTACCTGTTTAATC